TAACGAATGAATATCCAAATGTGTTTCGTCTGTCCTTTGCCATTGACGTTTTTTTTGCCTCTAAGTGTATTTGAATTAGCATTGGCATTTTATAACATATACTATCTGTAGAGTGCCTCTACTGAAGAACTGAACTTGACAACCGAGACTATATAGAAGATAGAACATCTCCCGTTGGGCGCGCCTATATCTCGCCGTCAATGAGTCTGGCTTCGGACTCGCTGAAGAGGTGAGCGAGCTGGGCCGGCCCACGAGCGTGGGAGGCCATAAAGTTTCTTCCTGTTTTTCCCCTATTTTTATTTTCTTTTGTACTTTTGTTTATACTGTAAAATATTCTAAAAATATATATTACAAAAAAACTCTCCATTTTTTTTGTGAAAAATGTTGAACAAGTATTTGAAAAAATGTTGAGCGTGTATAAAAAACATGTTGAACAATTATTTAAAAATATTGAATAAGTATTTGAAAAATGTTGATCAATTATTTGGAAAAAAAATTAAACAAGTATTTGAAAAAATGTTGATAATGTACATAAAAATGTTGAACAACTATTTGACAAAGGTTGAACAAGTATTTAAAAAATGTTGAACAACTATTTGGAAAAATGTTGATCATGTATATAAAAATGTAGAATGAAAAAAAAGAAACAAAAGGTTGAAAGCCGAAAAAGAAACAAAATAAACAAAAGAAAAAGGAAAATAAAAAAACTAAAGAAACAAATGAAAAACACCGGAGAAGAAAAAAATACTTGTATGTAAAACAATGAAGAAACAAAAGCAAAATAATGAAAAAAAGGAGAAGAGTAAAGACAAAAAAAGAAAACAGAAAAACGGAGAAAACCGACACGTCTTGCTTCAAGTAGGATGGGTCTTTTATGTTATCACGAACTGTTGGGCAGGCGCACTGGCTAGTGGCGCTTCCTATGTTCGCGGTGACCAGGGATCGATGACGGTGTCCTGGTTTAGGGGTACTCACCACGTCGTCTCTCGACCCGGTGGATCGGGCCGAGGACCCCATGGCGGTTCACAATTGGGCCAGTTCGGACAGCCCATGACATATACGAGGAAGATTCCACAAGACTTGGTGATCAAGACAAGGACTCCTCTCCACCGATGTATTCGACTAGGACTCTTATTATCCTAGACCTCTGGTACATTATATAAGACGAGGTTAGGCTAGTCGATAGATTATTATGACATTCATCATCATACCATTAGGTTTTAGACAACAACATACGATCTTGAGGTAGATCAACTTCGTACTTGATACTCCATCAATATAAACAAGAGCAAAACATAGGGTTTTACCTTTTAGAGAGGGCCCGACCTGGGTAAAACATCATCTCCTTCGTTCCAGTTACCACTGATCCAAAAATCCACAGCTCGGGACCCCCTACCCCAAGGTCTGCCGGTTTTGACACCGACAACCGAAAATGGACTAGCCCAGTAATGACCACGACCAAGAAAACTTCGATGCAAGACTTAGACGCAAAGAAATTCAGAGGTCGGCTGATTTGGGGGAGACATCAAGAGGGTCGGAAATGGGACAAAGGCATTTTGGTTAGCACAACAAATCGTTACCTAACATAGGCTTATCCTGCTAGTACTCTGTTGAAGGTACAAACTTTTCCATTTTCTATGTCTAAAAACTTATTCCATTTTCTACAGAGTTCTACGTTTCCAAATAAAAATAAGTGACACTGCAGTACTCTGTTGAAGGGGTACCCTATGCTATCACATCATGTATTATTTATTCTGATGTCGATCCCGACGGTACAAAAGACATGCATGATTCATTCATTGTTGTAGCGCACCTGCAAGTTCCACCCGAAAATGGTAAAACTGCATAGCACCCGAAAATTATTTGTTTGGTGGTGATGAGCACGAAAGTGCTTGAGTTCGTGTTTTTCTGGAGAGGGCTTGGTCCACGACATAACACATGTTATGTTGTGATTTTTTGGATCAAACTTAGTCAATGGTGGTTTTTGGATGAACTATATGCATGTTTTAATTGAATTGTTTGATTGGATGAACTATATGTATGCTTATGGTTGATTTTTATTGTACGTTGAATTTAAATCATGCAAATGATTGATGAAATACCATGCAATTGTTTGGAATGTATGTTAAAAATGATAGAAGAATTAGTCAAAAAGATTTTAGGGAGCTAAATATAGGGTTTGGTTAGGTTTGGCCACAATTTAACTCCTTAAATCTGAAGGAGTTAAGTTTAGAAATGCATATAAGGAGATACTCCCTCTGTTACTTTACATAAGGTGTATTCCTTTTTTGATAAAATTTCACAATGTAAGGTGCATTTCTTCTAATTCATCAAAAATTCATTTTTTAGCCCTCTAGAAAAGGAAACTATCTCTCCCCTGATTGCATGTATCTCTCCTTGTAAAAAAAGGAAAATATCTCTCCCGATTGCATGTATCTATTACTTTTCTAGCCTAAATGATTTACTTATCAGTTACCACTAATCAATGATTTAGCCAAGGTTAATTTTTTGCTAACTTGTCTATAGTTATGTGCCTTGGTCACCGTGTTGAAATTATACACCTTACATAAATGAATGGAGGGAGTACATTATAAGAGGTTGACTACATATACTCGTAGTGTTTGTTAATAAGATGGCATATTGGGTAGTTTCAAAGGAACTCCGAGGGCAGAGGGGTATGGTGGGTGAAGTGGAGCATATGAAGCAAACATTTGTCTGCTCCGGTAAAATGAACTAGATGCTACTCCAGCTCCAATCCACTAAGGAAAGGAAGTGGCGTTTTGGCACCCGAGCGCACCTGCTCCCTTTATCCTGTGCGTTGGGTGTCTTTCTGGGATCTGTGCCTGGTCATTTTCTCTGCAAATACGGTTCTCTTTAAATTAGGCTGGCAGGTGCAGATGCGTATGGTACAGTTGCGTACGGTGGGCCATATCTCGCACCGGCGTTAGCAGCCCTGCTGTTGTGATTCGCGTCGTGGATAGTGTTCCGTCGTACGGGAGCGTCACCAAAAAGATGAGCCGTGGCACAAGATTTCTTCTGACGAGTGTTAACTGCCCCTACGATTTAGTTCACGATTAATGCGTAAATCTAGAACAGAAGAGAACTATTGGGAGATTGGATTAAATCAGTTAAACAAGGATAACGCTACAGCTAATGACGTGGGGATTACAGACTGAGCTCTCAGCTCCTCGTTCACAGCACCCCACGGCGAATTTAAGTCTTTTCGTAAAGAAGGATTGGGGTGGCTAGTGAAGGATTAGTGCAAACCACGTCCGTAATCTCCGCCTCCGTAAATTAAGTCTTTTCGTCAAACAAATCCCGGCAACTAACATTGCAATCGAGAAAAAATTACCCAAAGCAAACCGCATATGCATAAGTATAGAGGAAAATTTCCTTCGCCTAGGTACAAGCTAAGATTTGTAGCATACCCGTAAAATATTCGGTTTCACTACTGAAAAGCATGAACAAACAACCAACAACTAAGAGTGTTGAAGTGTTAAAAAGAAGTGTTGAAAGATTCGAATGAAAAATTCATTACAGATGAAACAAACTTATCTAAATTATTTGTACTGTACATAAATAATCTGGCATGAACAATGGTGGGTGAAAAAAAAATCAAAACAAATGATTTGCGCTGCCTACCACGATATGAACATGCATGAACGGGCTGGTGAGACACTCGCCTCTTGCGAGGGGCTCGACCTTCCTGGCCGGTCCGTGCAGCCGCCTTGTTGCTCCGACTTGCCGAGTGTCCATCTGCAAGATCTCGTCAGTCGCTAAGGACATGGAGAATTTCAGTCGTCACCACCACGTTGGATGTGGTTAGAGTCGAGGAGGACGCCGGATTACATGCTCAGGCAACCTAGTTCGTGGGAGATGCCAGATCCACGAGCTCCAGCCGCCGGAGTCGAGGTAGACCACGAACGCGAGCACTCCGGTAGCTAGGTTGAGAAAAAATGACACTCCATGCAGCAGTTTTCCGCTGCGCTAGCATGTGCTGGCATGCTCTCCGCCTCCGACCACCCAGTTTTTCTCACTCGCCGAAACATCGAGAGGATGAGAGAGATTAAGTAACCAGAAGTTGGAAGGAGAGAGACGTCTGGAAGGAACGCATTTACTATCCGTGGGACCCTGCTGGCCTGCATGAGCTCCACAATTCACATGCACACATCTAGTCAAGGACGGCAACAAACGTCTGTTCCCTCGCCCTAAACGGCGCTCCTGTTAATTATTGCAGGTCAGATGTGGGCCACATGCCAGTAGAAGGAAGACCCCCGTCTGAAAATAGGACCCTAATACAACAAGCAGCGAGAATCGCAAGAACATTGATCGGCTCAGATATTGGGATTAGATGTGCTCGGGAGCCAAATGAGATTTCCCTGTTTGAAACAATTCTACTGAAATCTGGAGCAGTCCAAAGCCTACCCTCAATCCGATAAGGACCAAGCAGGAGCATATCCTATATGTGAAGGTCGACCATGTTACTGGATTGGTGGATCTAGTTTGTTAAATTTACTCGATGACTAGGGCTCCGAGGCACTAGTCCTTAAGGGCGCGTGTATGAAGACTTCTCAGCTATAATCGACAAGTTCAGGCCAGCTCCGACAAGCAGCGCGTGAGCGGCTCGTTCTGGCGGTAGTGGTTGCTTGATGGTCCAAAAACGTCTATGTAATTATTATTATTTTTGGGATGCTTTGTACTTTTGGTGAGCTACTTTTAAAAAAGACTCTGAATTCAATTGACTGTGATAGACCTTCATAAACGTTTCCCATTAATGTTCAAAGTATGGTTGGTTGAATGGTGGAAACTTATGTCTACTCGTATATTTGTAGTAGTTAGTCCAAATAGATGTTGGTTTATCAAGGTTCCATGAAAACATGATGCATACACTGCACTAGGATCATTTTATATCTTCTATAGCCAATTCATCATGAGCTAGCACACCATAAAGACTTGGTAAAAAAGTACAAATACAAAGACACACATATGTGCAATATCTATTAAGCAGTGACAACGATCTTCATGCCTTGCTGGCAGTGACCCGGAAGGCTGCAGATGAAGAATGCTTTGCCTCCGCGGGCGAGCTGGATGTGGTCATTGCCGGAGGTGTAGGTCCTCGACGGGCCCGAGACCCTGCATGAGTTATAGTCGCCTTTTCCCACCTGCACCACGTTGTGCATACTCGGGTTGTACTTGAACACTGCATGCATTAGTTAAAACAAGAATACAGATCAGAACACAGTATATACATCGAGAACAACCAATCACTTGATCTTTAGAGTTCTCACCAAGCACGTCGCCGGATTGGATGTGCTTGCCACGCTCCCATCCGGAGACGCGGAAGCTCCATCCCTTGTTGTCACCAACGGTCCACTCCTTGGCATGGACGACGGTGGTTGCGTAGCAAACGGCTAGAAGCAGCACCAAAAGGGTGGGTACCATGGTTCCCTGTGCCATCGATGGTGTTGCTCTTGACTTCTTGTTGCTACCGAAGATCACAAGAACTAAAAAAGAAATGGTGGTCGATTCCTCAAGCGATGGCTTGCGTTCAATCTCCTTCTCATATGATATATATAGGCGGTCAGCTAAAATCATTGTTTTAATGTGCTCAAATAATGAGAATCTTGCCTTAAATGAGACAAATCAACAATTGTGATATGCAACATTAGGTAGTATATGCTACCAAATCCTCCAACTTATATAATCTGATCTTGGATAAATGGAAATGAACGAGGGTGCATTTATTTCCTACTTTCAAGATTTAGTAAATATTTCTTTTTCCTGGATGCATTAGTTGTATATCAGATATTTATATATACTAGTATTAGATGATATAATTGTAATAAGAAAAATTTAAAATACAAAATTATTTTTTATAAGGAGAAGTCCCTAATATTGAATTTTCAACCATAGCTGCTAAAGCGATTGGAGGCCATGATTTGTTATTGTTTAGTCTCAAATAATTTGAAATTGACAGGAATAGTTTTAAAGGGAGTTTAAATGAATTTTAGAAGCTGGAAAATTTAATGCATTGTGTTCATATAATAATTTTAGGCTAGGTTAATTTGGAACAATTGAAAAAGAAAAGAGCCCCGATTGGTTAACGAAGCAGTAAACCCGGCAAGATTCAGAAGGATCAAATCGAGCGGAAAAATTGTGAGACTTACCAAACTTGTAGCCACTTGGGACGGGGACAATGACCTCAAAAGACGCCCTCCATGAAAACTCTGCAACTACTCCTGATCAACGAAATTAGCCCAAAACTAACCATCCTGACACAAACTGGAATGACCTACTGATACGTCTCCAACGTATCTATAATTTTTGATTGTTCCATGCTATTATATTACCCGTTTTGGATGTTTATGGGCTTTACTTTACACTTTTATATCATTTTTGGGACTAACCTACTAACCGGAGGACCAGCCCGAATTGCTTTTTTTTTGCCTATTTCAGTGTTTCGAAGAAAAAGAATATCAAACAGAGTCCAAATGGAATGAAACCTTCGGGAGCGATCTTTTTGGAACAAACGTGATTCAGAGGACATGGGGTGAAAGTCAAGAAACAAGGGAGGCGGCCGCGAGGGTGCCCGGCACGCCCCCTACAGGTGGGCGCGCCCCCCACCCTCGTGGGCCCCTCGAGCGTCCACCGACCTACTTCTTCCTCCTATATATACCCACGTACCCTGAAACCATCGAGGGGCACCACGAAAAACTATTTCCACCGCCGTAACCTTCTGTATCCGCGAGATCCCATCTTGGAGCCTTCGCCGGCGCTCCGCCGGAGGGGGAATCGACCACAGAGGGCCTCTACATCATCTCCAAGGCCCTTCCGATGAGTTGTGAGTAGTTTACCATAGACCTTCGGGTCCATAGTTATTAGCTAGATGGCTTCTTCTCTCTCTTTGAATCTCAATACAAAGTTCTCCTCGATCTCCTTGGAGATCTATTCGATGTAACTCTTTTTGCGGTGTGTTTGTCGAGATCCGATGAATTGTGGGTTTATGATCAAGTTTATCTATGAGAAATATTTGAATCTCCCCTGAATTCTTTTATGTTTGATTAAGTTATCTTTGCAAGTCTCTTCGAATTATCAGTTTGGTTTGGCCTACTAGATTGATCTTTCTTGCAATGGGATAAGTGCTTAGCTTTGGGTTCAATCTTGCGGTGTCCTTACCCAGTGACAATAAGGGTTGCAAGGCACGTATTGTATTGTTGCCATCGAGGATAAAAAGGTGGGGTTTATATCATATTGCATGAGTTTATCCCTCTACATCATGTCATCTTTCTTAATGCGTTACTCTGTTCTTTATGAACTTAGTACTCTAGATGCATGCTGGATAGCGGTTGATGTGTGGAGTAATAATAGTAGATGCAGGCAGGAGTCGGTCTACTTGTCACGGACGTGATGCCTATATACATGATCATGCCTAGATAATCTCATAATTATTCGCTTTTCTATCAATTGCTCGACAGTAATTTGTTCACCCACTGTAATACTTATGCTATCTTGAGAGAAGCCACTAGTGAAACCTATGGCCCCCGGGTCTATCTCTTATCATATAAGCTTTCAATCTACTTTTATTTGCATTTACTTTTTCCATTATATCATAAAATACCAAAAATATATTTATCTTATCATATTATCTCTATCAGATCTCACTTTCGCAAGTGGTCGTAAAGGGATTAACAACCCCTTTATTGCGTTGGTTGTGAGTTCTTGTTTGTTTGTGTAGGTGCGTGAGACTTTTGAGGAGCCTCCTACTGGATTGATACCTTGGTTCTCAAAAACTGAGGGAAATACTTACGCTACTTTGCTGCATCATCCTTTCCTCTTCAAGGAAAACCAACGCAAGCTCAAGACATAGCAAGAAGGATTTCTGGCGCCATTGCCGGGGAGGTCTTCGCTCAAGTCAAGACATACCAAGTAACCATCACAAACTCATCTCACTTGCATGACATTATTTGCCATTTGCCTCTCGTTTTCCTCTCCCCCACTTCACACTAGCTGTTTTATTCGCCCTCTCTTTCCCAATCTCCTCTCTCTTTCGCTTGTCTTTTGTTTGCTCGTCGTCATGGCTAGTCCCATATCCGCTCCTATATCTCTCGATTTTGAAGTTCTTCACTTCAAGCAAAGGCAAGGAGAAAACTTAAAATATGCTTGGTATAGGATGATGGAATCTTATCGTAATTGCACCATGGAGGTGAACTTTAGAATTTTACTTCACAATTTTTATGTTGGGCTAAATATGTCCCATAGACAACTCTTGGATTGCATTGCCAAAGGAAATTTTATTGAAATTGATCCCAGTATTGCGCATGAAATTATAGAGGGAATAGTGGGAACACTACCTCAAAAAGGGGGACCACATCCTACCCAAGAAGAAACACAAGTGTTTGAAAAGATTTGCGAAGTAAAAAAAAATCTTACAAAAGTCTCTTGAACCTCTTAAGAGTGTTAGCGGAAATCTTCACCACATGAATATGTTGATTACTCTTTGCAATAAGCGGTTGGACTCTTTAGATTTAAAAATTTCCGAGTATGAAGGGAAACGTAAAGAACCTCCCGGATTCGAGCATGACTCCGCTAAAAAACTAAAAATTAAAGATGGCACTACTTAGACCTATCCTCGCTTTTATGCCTAGCTAGGGGCGTTAAACAATAGCGCTAGTTGGGAGGCAACCCAGTTTTATTTTTGTTTTTTGTTTTTGCTTCTGTTTAGTAATAATTTTTTCATCTACCTTCTGTTTAGATGTGTTTCTATGTTTTAATTAGTGTTTGTGCCAAGTAGAACCTATAGGATAACATATGGTGATAGTTAATTTGATTCTGCTGAAAAACAGAAACTTTGCACGCACGAAAATAATTTTATTAATTCACAGACACGTGATTTTGCATTGATTCTTTTTGCTGTAGATCAATAGACAAATTGCCCAGGACTTCCTATATTGTTCTAACGGATCAGTAGGAGGCACAACAATAGAAGCAAGACCAATAATCTCATCCTTACTAGGTAATTCTCTATCACGAGGTTGTCTATGAAACTTAGTAAAATTAAACTCATGAGACACATCCTCTAAGCCAATTGTAACAGTATCCTTTTCACAATCAATCCTAGCATTAACAATATTCAAGAAGGGTCTACCAAAAATAATGGGACAAAAATCATCTTGTGGGGAACTAAGAACAAGAAAATCAGCAGGATATTTAACCTTCCCACACAAGACTTCAACATCTCTAACAATCCCAATTGGTGAAATAGTATCTCTATTTACAAGCTTGGTAGTAACATCAATACCTTCCAATTCAGCGGGTGCAATATCATGCATAATTTCTTTATATAAATCATAGGGTATTCCACTAGCACTAGCACCCATATCACATAAGCCATGATAACAATGATCTCCTATTTTAACAGAAATAACAGGCATGCCTACAATAGGTCTATGTATCTTAGCATCTGGTCTAACAATACTAGCAGTCTCACCACAGAAATAAATAACATGCCCATCTAAATCATCATCCAAGAGATCTTTAACCATAGCAATACTAGGTTCAACTTTGATTTGCTCAGGAGGTGTATAAGTCCTAGTATTACTCTTACGAACAACAGTCGAAGTTTTAGCATGATCCTTTATCCTAACAGGAAAAGGAGGTTTCTCAACATAAGTAGTAGGAACAATAGGATCACTATAAGTGACAATCTTTTCTTCAACTGTAATAGGTGCAACTACTTTTACTTCAATGGGAGGATTATATTTAAACCAACTGTCCTTAGGGAGATCAACGTGAGTAGCAAAAGACTCACAGAAAGAAGCTACTATCTCAGAGTCAAGTCCATATTTAGCGCTAAATCCATGAAAAGCATCGGTATCCATAAAAGACTTAACACAATCAAACTTAGGTGTCATACCTAACTCCTTACCATCCTCGGAACCCCAATCTTCAGAGTTGCGTTTAATTCTTTGCAATAAGTCCCACTTGAATTCAGTAGTCTTCAGCATATAAGAACCAGCACAGGAAGTATCAAGCATGTTGCGATCATTGGGAGAAAGCCGAGCATAAGTTTTTTGAATAATCATTTCTCTGGAGAGCTCATGATTGGGGCATAAATATAACATTGACTCAAGCCTCCCCCAAGCTTGAGAGATGCTTTCTCCTTTGTGAGGCCAGAAATTATATATGTAATTGCGATCATGATGAACGAGATGCATATGATAGAACTTCTGGTGAAATTCCAACTTCAACCGTTTATAATTCCAAGATCCCGTATCATCACATAGTCTATACCATGTGAATGCATCCCCCTTCAAAGATAAAGGGAAGACCTTCCTTTTTACAACATCCTTGGGAATACCCGCAAGCTTAAATAATCCATAAACTTCATCCACAAAGATAAGGTGTAAATCGGGATGCAATGTTCCATCTTCTGCAAAGGGATTAGCTAGCAGTTTCTCTATCATACCCGAAGGAATCTCAAAGTAAATATTTTCAGTAGGTTCCGTAGGTTGAGGAGAAAATCTTTGCTCTTCTGGTCAGGGTGAAGATACCCCGAACAAGCCCGTCAAAGGATTAGTTTCCATAGTAACAAGTGA